GATCTGTGTTACACCCCTAAGATGGACATCTCCATGGGCCCTGTGCAAGTGTATCACTCTCACACCTCATTTCGTCCCTTGACATCGCAGCAACAATGACCCAAAGGCATATGCTTGGCTCGCAAACATTCCTATTTGTTTTTTAATGAAAGCTGATGGATTGTGAAAAAAAGCCAAAAGGTTTATAATGAGGGTGTTAAAAGAGAAGCAGTTGTGATGTGGATATGCTTGTGATCATGTGACCAACAGGGAATGGAAGTGTGACGTCATCAATGGCAATGCGTCCTGTACCCACCCGTTTGTAAACCTGACATGGGTCCCCGAATATTTAATATTTTTAAATTGCCGACAGGTGTAGACACCAACTCCCAACACTAGAGAGGACCGACATCAGTGACAGTGATCGGTCAGACAGATTCATCAATTAACTCTTTTTTTATAACGCTCCTCCATTTGTACCTATTGCTTCTCTTTGTATTGACGCTATCGTTCACATATGGCCATGACGCCCCAGAATGCACCGCGGTTCCCACTCCCTATAGCTCCGCTCTCACATGTCAGTGTTCGTCTGTCTGTCATGGCCTGCATCCATCTGGGCTTTAACATTTACTCATCTGTAACAATAAGTGCGTTTCTCAGGAGAGAGACATGTCCTCCCTCTCCTCTGGAAGCGTGACACAAAGGCAGACACTGTTGAGACGTGTCTCTGCGCTGCGAGGTGGAGGCGTGACGCTGAGCGGAGGAGCAGCTGACTGTGAGCCGACCAGCTGACCCCCCGCCAGCCCCTCGTGATGTCACCCACTGCTGCACTCTCCAACTTCAACTGATGAGACATTGTGGGGGCTACATTTAATCAATTATGTGAAAACACCGTTTCAAAAGCAGACTTATTTTACTTTTTTAAAGGATAGAGCACACAACATGTTTTGGTTTACACACAATCCTGTACGTACAGTTTTCCCTAATACATAAATGCTATTGTTGTTCATTTTTTTACCATGAAAGTAAAAAAAGGACATTGGGCATCATGATAGTACGATTGTGTTTGGTAGTGTATTTGTATATTTGTGTACACTTGTTGTGTATGTCAGTTATACTGAGAGCTACTGATACACACATCTTTTGCTCACTGAAATACTTTGTAACTACATCGTACCACTATTCTGTTTGTCATGGATTTATCTATTTTCTAACTATCTCAATTAAAAAATGTATTAAAGGGCACTTTCATTTGCAGAAATGATTGTAAAATCCCTATCATGATTTCCTGGCACCAAAGTGGACATACTCATGTGGGCTTTTGTCTGAGCCACAGTGTTAAAGCAGGGTATATGCAGGAATCCTGAAGTCAAATGTAATACCTTTTAAGACCTTTTTTAAGACCCTTTCCATACATTTGAAGACCTCATCGCCACTTTGAGTTTTAACCGGTTAAATTGGCGACACACTTTACCTCACATTTAATATATACAGTATTGATTGTCCTTCTTCCTTATCTTCCAACCATTTGGACGCAGACTTGCATTTCCCCATAACGATGTTGTTTAACAACCGGCGTAAACGGGCCTTCGCGCTATCAAGCAGTGAGCGTGCGATGTCCTGTTCAGATGACGTCAAATCCAACGGGATGCCATAAATAAACTACACAGAATCACGCTACACACCTACGCAATGATTACATTCAGGCACACTGTAGAATACAACCTCTTTGGACAATTTATATACTTATTGAAAACAAGCTACAAAATGTAATACCTTGGAAAATGCCCTTTAATACTTTTTAATACTTTTGAATAGCCTTAATATTCACTAAGTTGATTTATCAACTTTTAATACTTTTTAAGACCCCGCGGACACCCTGTAAAGCCAAATATATATACAACAGTTTCAATACAAACTTATTGTCATCTTAGTGTAAACTTATTGTCTCGGAGCTATTGATTTGTCACAAAAAAGTTGACAAAAATGTAACCATTGGCTAAAGAATACTGCTGTTTCCAAAGGTTAGGAATGAATTAAGAAACAACAAATAACAATGCATTTATCGTTCAAGTAATTTGTCAAGCTAACTCCTGCTGCATTTGCTCCATTTCTCCTGTACATTCCCTGTAAATGTCATAAGACAAGGAATGTACTGTAAATGATTATTTTCAGGTATAGCCCATAAGGCTATCCAAAAAAAAAGATTGTTCGAATCTCAGCTCTTCGTGCCGATACAAATGCTTCAAAATAAAATCATATGGGATGTCAGAACCTGAAATCTGGGGTCACAAGTTGAAATCGTCTCATTTGAGAGTTCACAGTGGTTGGGTCAGTACAGTGTACTCAGAGACTGAAACAAGCCCCTTAGCATCAAGCAGAAAACATCAAGCCCAGATAGCACCAAGTAGAGCAGGGGTGGGGAACCTCCGGCCTCCGGGCAGTATACGGTCCGCGAGACCATTTGATACGGCCCTCGAGGTCATTTATAAACACACGCAAAAATCTAGACCGCAAAATAATTAAACAAGCGAGTGCCGGTTTTTCCTGTCCAAGCTCCTTGAACACAACACGAGCCTAACATGTCATCACGTGGTATAAGTCTCGTCTTACAGGGGTGTAGTTCTGACGGAGAGCACCGGAACGCCGCTCCAGCACTTCATTTAAAATGTCAGTACCCATAAGGAGCCGTACACATGCCGCAGTTTTTGCGTGGCTGTGTCTTTAGTTGAAAGCCCAGTGGAGATCTGTTCATCTGTCATACTGATCATACAGTCAATACCTTTGATGTTATTAGCATCTGGTTAGCTAGCTATGCTAACGAATATAAGAAGCTTTTTCTACAACCAGTGAGGTAAAGGCACATCTTTATATGATCATTATAGTTATAAAAAAATAAGAAAATAAAGTAAACAGGTATAAAATACTATATGACAGTAAAAAAAAGTTGTTATTAATAAACAAGAATACAGTTTGAAAGGGGAGTGATTTGTAAAATATCCATAAAGAAAAAGAAATCTGTTTACAGTTCTGTTTCATATGGATGTTGAGAGATATATCCATAGATCTCTCCATGTTGCTCTCAAAGTGCACCAGATTAATGCTTTTAACTTCAATATTTAAAAAAAATCTTCCCGGGGGAACATGCCCCCGGACCCCCCTCGAGGAGGTTAGGTCCCCCCCCCCCCACTTAAATCATGTTCACATGGATAAGAAACTAAATACATTTGCACACATCTTGTGTCCATATCTTTCTGTTGTGGTGGTCATGCCACAACCGTGCACGTGAATGCATGCGCGAGTCATGGTAAGATATCTGGATTAAGAGGTTGCTTTTTCTTTGCACAGCATGAAAGAAAGGCCAAATGAATGGGCTGTGATTTTAATTTTTTAAGCAGAGGTTGAGTTCAATAATCTGTACGGCCCTCGGAGGATGTTGTAAAAATTGAAATGGCCCTTGAGAGGAAAAAGGTTCCCCACCCCTGAAGTAGAGGGACCAACATGCACTAAAGTGAAACAGTAACAGTACAGAGTGGGCCTGTCTTTGTAAACATGTTATTACTCTGTATGTGTACATGAACACTGCCATGTCCTGCACTGTGATCACTTCTGCAGTGTGTGAATTTAGAACGTATAAAGTTGTCTCATATAGCACACGGTTGCTGGGTTCTCAAAGGAAGTTACTTTGTCCACTGCTAGCTATCTAGCTAGCAACGATCGTTAGGAGTACTAAACCATGACAGCCTTCTGATCCAACCTTTTAAAATGAACTGTGGCTCTTTTTTCCACCGTTTAGGAAAAGTCCAGTAGCAAATACTAGACTTGTGTCATTAAAAATGCGTTTGTGAATATGTACCATTTAACACAAATATCAAGACTTGTGTGCTTACATGTTGTCAAGTCCTCTAATTGTTTGTGTTTGTCAGATTACCACATAGCAATATTTTGTTATTACCTACCTTTCAAAAGAGATCATCCCTGCAACCTGAGGACAGATCCAGCCTAAAGCTTTACACCATTCTATGTTTCCATGCACCTGCAGGCAGTATCCTCACGAGGTTATAAAGCAGGCAGCTTTGTGTTCTAACACTAAGTGGAACATGCATTCTGCCAGCTGCTTCCACTGCTCAAAACATAGCAAGCTTGCTTCTGAAAATAGGAATAATATATCAGTGTAAATTACAAATCTACATTCCCGGCGATATGATTAATTACACTATTCTTGCTGACACAATGTGTGCAACGGATGGCTGGTTCGGACTCTATCAGGTTTTATGGGATGAAGGCATGATACCCAAAAATACGTCATCACTGCACCGCTCTACTCAGCACAGGTATCTAACCTGAAGAATACACAGAGGGGATATATCATATACGTCTATGTCATCGTCCAGAAAATACATCCAAACAACACCTCTGGTATCAAGGTAGGCCAACACACTTCCCCTGTTCTGTGTGGAGGAATGCAACCTGGTGCTCAGAGGGAACTGAGCTCAATGGTTCCCCTACTGGAAGTATAAGAGCCTGAATGCACCCCAGAGAGAGCCACTGTCCATCATGAGAGCTGATGTCCTTGGTGTGACTGTCAGCCGCTTACAGATGCTGATGGTGACAACAGGAAGTGAAAGCTAAGCGTCAGGAGGATAACAGCTCACACACACCGTTGCCTGTCTGACACCACAGTCACAGAGGGTGTGTGTGTGTGTGTGTGTGTGTGTGTGTGTGTGTGTGTGTGTGTGTGTGTGTGTGTGTGTGTGTGTGTGTGTGTGTGTGTGCGTGTGCGTGTGCGTGTGTTTATATTTCATATTTCACTGAGAACACGTCGCATTAAAATAGCCAACCAGAAAGCCTTTCATATAGGGGAAAGTAAGCTAGCTAACAGGCTAATCACCTTTACATACAAGAGATGTCGATAATAATAATAAAGATAATAGAAATAGCTGAAAAAAATCAAAGTAAGTAATTCCGCTTCATATAGAAGCGAGCAGAATGATGGGTAAAATGGAAACAGTGTGTCTTACCAGTTTACACGCGTCTAGTGACCCGCAGCTCTATATTCCATTCCGTTATGTAGAAACGCTCTGACAGGACGCCGTGCTCTGCTGTGATGGCGTTAGCTCTGCAGGGCCACAATGAACTGCTGCTGCCTTCACGGGCTGCCGGAAGTATCAAACTCAGCCTACCGAAAGCACAGGTTGTAGATTAAATAGAATATCTGTGGAAATAAGACAAGGAACGTTCGTATTGTTCTTATGAGACAAGCTGCCGACTGTGATGTTAATGGGACATGGGACTCTCAAGTAATGATAATGATTGATGCTGTATTTGCGGATTTATTTATCAGTCCATTCCCTATGACAGGAAACGCTCAATGTTAATGTCTCTTTTGGTACATGTCTTAAAAAATCAAATACCTGCCGCTTTATTACTTTTGTTTGGTAATGTGTTGCTTTCATAAGCCCATTTGATTTGTCCTGACCACTCAAAATCCCGAGCTTTTCAGAAGCGAATGAACAGCGCATGACGGGGCCGGTCGATTGATTAACAGGACGCCCGTCCAATCAGAGGACAGGGGAGATAGACGGTGGGTGGGACAGGGGTGGAAGTGGTAAGCGTGTAAACTGATTTTTTTTCAATGTTTATTTGATACAAAATTCTATAACTATAATATCCTAGACTTTGACGAACTTATAGAGGCTTTATAAAAGAGAGGATAAAACAAACAAAATATCAAGTTGCCATAAAGGTCTCTAATAGAAATATAGTAAGACATAAACTACCTAGGCCTAGTTCATTTGTGTTGCGAGGTTTAAAAGTTACATTCCTGAAAAGTCATGATATATATTTTGGACTAGATTCCACTTCTCTTCTTATGCAGTGACCAACAGCTGGATGAGCTGCATTGCATATTCAGTTGTACTTAACGTTGGAGCGCCTTCTTCTGTTTACTTCAAGAAACTGAAAACTGTATAGCTTACTTGTCCGTTTTCTTTCAGTGGTTGTTATTTGTTCATAGAATCATCCAGGCTGGGGGAGTAACGGATTACATGTAACATGATTAGGATCACTGTTACATTTCTAAAAAAGTTTTCTTATAATATCTGAGCAGAGGACACTTTCATGATACTAAATATCTTGATTTCAACTTTTCTAAGGTCACAGTATCCTCCTGGACCTTGAAAAAGTCCATAAGAAAATCATAAAATCACCATCACGAATCAATAATACAGTTTGTATTCATATATCATACTTGATGTCGGCAAACCTTTTTTACACATAATTATTGGTGCACATTCTAGCATAAACCAAAAATATCAACAAAAGAGGCAAAGTCAAAACAAGGTTAATTTTAATTATTTATTTAGGTGCAAAACGCTCTAAGGTCTACGGTGGCCGGCAGGTGCAAACGCTGAACAACGGCCAAAAACGCATACAAATATAGAGAAGACATTCAAGGAGAGAGACAAAACACAGATTCAACAGTAAACATGATGTATCTTTCTATTTATTTAGCTAACCACTACAAACATTTTTGGCAGAAGTTGAATACAACAGTAAGTTCACTTTTTTTATTGTATCTGTTTCAAATGCAAGAAATAAGGATTCAACACACTACTCTGTTTAGATTACTAATTGGCAGATGCATACACTAGTTATCAGCATGAAGGACACATTTGTTCATTGTCTGTTTATGTGAAATATGTAGAAGCCATCATTAAATTGTAGACCAATGCATGATTAAATACACAAAACAGCTTATATTATACATTAATAATTGTGTATTAGTTCTATCTTTATAGAGAACATTATACATTTAGAATCAGATTTTGAGACAGTGAGCGGCTGGGAAAGTCACATCGCCATGGAGCACAAACAGTTGCTATGACATGATGTTTTCTTCGCATTCTCAGGCATTCCATAAGGAGGGTCAGGAACTCACGCTTGGGACCACCAGTGTCCACTCCATCCTCAGTTTGTCCCTCATCCTCAGTGAACTTAACTGACGTCGAATGAGAGGGGTCGAATGAGGCACCTTTGAAGCCGCGGATTGCTCCATCCCATACATTGGCTCTATTAATATTGAACCTGCTGCAAGATGTATTTGTTATTTTTGCAGAGAGTTCTGCAACAATGTCCTCCGCAGTCAGGTATTCTGTGGTGGGAAAGACACACTGATTTATTGTAATATTAAATGATGAAGCTAGTAATAAGATTTACAGTATAGAATAGAACAATTAAGTGGTAATAGTAGCAATTAATACCTTTCCTCTGCAGTTTGCTCCATTTTGTCTTCTGGCTCAGACTGGCTGTCAATAATGATAGGTGCATACACATTTGTGTAGTTGCTGCAGTGAGAAGACAGTTGAATAATTACTTTCAAATACATCATATATGCATGACAGTCATATTTACAAAAGGATGTCGATCCTTTTCCTGTTTTTTTTTTAACAGCACTTTTGTCATACTCCTGCACAATCCTTGTAAACATTTGAAATGGATGCAAGAAACAATATCTGATCTTTGAAAAATATTTGTGGGTGTTTTTTGTATCGTCTTCACTAAGATGTAAGATCTTGTGGGTGTCATTTAAATGTATAAAAGTATAATTTTTCTGCTTCCTGGCAATGTTACCCACTGTGATTAGAGGCATATACAAACAAACAAATGTACAAATAAAGATACACACCAAACAACTGTGTCACGATGCAACTGTCAACATCGTTTACCTATAGAAGTTGTCTGACCCGGGGCAGATAGGACCTCTTCCTGGAATGGGGTTGGTGCTCCATCCTATTTTTACCCAGGAAATAAGTGCAGTTGATCTAATGACAGTGTCATTAGCACACAAAGGTATTTATTGATTTCATGTTCACAAATTCAAACCTACACGGTATAATTACATTTTTAATTATGATCAGACGCTGGTTGTGGGTGCCTGAGAGGTCTGATAAAGGTAAACAAAAAATATGGATTAAACTACTGTACTTTTAAAACATTCTGCTTCTTGTGGCACAAAATAATATGTTGACAATGTTTTATTTGACCCTGGGAAACTGTTGTCCATTCTTGGAGTGCTCACTTTTGGAACATTTGGAATGTCCCACACCTGCATACACACAAATGACTGACTGAAATAAAAATAAATTCACTTTAATTAAGAATAAATGCCACGATAAATCCAAACTGACCAAGGTGTCAGAAAGAGGACTGTCTCCAGATGGCAAATTGACATGGACCACACTGTCCTCTTCACTTGAAGATGTTCCAGTGTCACTTAAGAAGAACAAAAAGTGTCATGATTGATACAAGTATAAAATTAAAAATAAGAATTCCTCTCCCTCTGTACCTATCATCAAATGTTGGTTTGAATCCTTAATTATTACATTGACATAAATCAGAAAGGATTACATCGAAACACAACATTTGTGTGAGAAGTACATTATATTGTTGACCGTCCTTTTAACTCCCACATTAGGATTTACATTGGGGCACAATAAACCAACTCCTCTCTGCACCTATATCTATCTATATGATGTCAAGAGTTACATTTAGGTGCACAATGCTGTCTCTTGACTTGCAAGCTCTTTTACCAAACAAGCTAACGCGACTGTAGCTGCGTAAATATGACGCTCTTTGTATCAAAACAAAACAAAACGTACCTTCTTATATACCAACTTTGTCCACTTCAATCAACTTTCTTTCCTCCGGCTTCAATTTCCATCACTTGTTCGTTCTCTCTATATATCTGGTCAGACATCAATCTGTTCCTTGTAGCGCGCCCCCTAGAGGCCTGGAGGCGGAGCACTTCCGGTATGTTTGTTTTTTGTATTTGTTTTTGGGTTTGTATGTGTTTTTGACTTTGCATATCGTTTTTGTATTTGCAAAGTTTTTCTGTTGCGTTTGTTTTCGGGGTTTGTGTGCTGTATTTAGTTTGCATCATTTCTGTAAATGCAGCGTTTTTTTGTTGTATTTGTTTTCAGGGTTTGTTTGTTTTTCATTTCATTATTTGCAGGCGTTTCCTGCTTACAGTATGTATGCGTTTTTGGCCATTGTTCAGCGTTTGCACCTGCCGGCCACCGTAGACCTTAGACCGTTTTGCACATAAATAATTAAAATTAACCTTGTTTTGACTTTGCCTCTTTTGTTGATATTTGTGGTTTATGCTAGAATGTGCACCAATATGTGTAAAAAAGGTTTGCCGACATCAAGTATGATATATGAATACAAACTGTATTATTGATTGGTGATGGTGATTTTATGATTTTCTTATGGCTGCTTATCCTCCAGGACTTTTTCAAGGCTGCAAACAGAAGGAGAACGTTTTATGTTAGTTTAGTGGTTCCGTCCTGGAGAGATGATCATTTTACAAAATACAGTTACTGTTACGAACTCAGACACTTAGGATGTAGGACCCAATTGCACGACCCGGGAGACAGAGGTAAAGTATTAGTAAGATACTTTATTTTCCAAAATACAGCAATGAACAACAAAAAAGGTAACTATCAAATCTCTAACCGAGATGACAAAAATAGAGGAACAAAATGAAAGCGCTCACGTAGTGAGGAATCAAACTTTTACAAGAGTACAAAGAGCATAGACCTGACCATAGCAAGAGACAATACGAACTGACAAAGAACACTTGGGAGACAGGGGAATATAAGCACAGGGTAACTAGACACAGGTGGGACCAATCAGGGGCGGGGCTGACATTGATGAGCACAGGAGACACAGGTGAAAATAATCAGGAAGCCTGGAATGAGAGAAAGCAAACGTAAATAACATGCATCTCTCTAGCATTTCTGTCGGTGCACAACAGTACCCCCCCCCTCTAGGGCCAACTCCTGATGGCCCAGGCTGATTGTAAAAATCGTGGATAAGCGTCTTGTCTACGATAAATGACGCAGCTACCCAGCTTCTAGCCTCAGGACCGTAACCCTTCCAGTCTACCAGGAATTGCTTCCCCCTCCCCCTATTACGGACCTCCAGTAGCTTACGGACCTTGTAAACCTCACCCCCTTCAAAGAACTCGGGCGGTGGAGGGGGCTTGGAGGCGGGAACAAGTGTGCTCTCGTACACCGGCTTGATTTGACTGACGTGAAACGTCGGATGTACTCTCATAGTTCTGGGGAGT